GCAAAGGGGAGGTTCAATTTCCTAAACTGTCTCTGCTGCTTTTGCTGGGAAATTCTGGATAACTGCAGTTACATACATGAGAGCCCAGAAGAGTCAGAGAAAACAGCATCAGGGTGATTTAGGAGATCTGCACTGTCTGGAGTGCTTGGAAGTGCCCACCTCTACCAGCAGGATCCTGGGGCTGTTCTGGATTCCTGGGAGGGATTTCAGCATCACCAGTTCCTGTTTGTGTGCTGTGATTCACCCCAAGCTGCAGGGTGAACTGTGGCCCCAGGAACAGCGGGGCCTGTTCCACTTCTCCCAGGAAAAGGGTCTGTAGTGATCTTGATCAGCAAGGATCAGTGATGCTGATGGGGAAAATGTGAGAAACACAGCGAGAAACTGTGTTCTTCTGTAGCTGGATAGGGACAACCCAGCCTGGGAAGGTAATGGGGAAAGAAAGTGTGGATCTTGTGCCTGGCTCAGCCAGTCACCTTGGGGAAGTGACCTTGGCCTTATCTACACAGAGACAACCAGGAAAATGAATCTGAATTAACCTTTGCAAATTGGATTAGCTAAACTTCATTAAACTGTCTATGTGGACATTCCTGTTCAGAATTCAAGCAGCCTCCACTCATCCTGGCTTACCTCATGTCCACAATGAGTGAGAAGAAAAGAAACTCAGCTTTTTTTTCCCATTGTGAGTAGGACTGTCCACACAACTGTCCTAAGTGCAGTTTAACTAAACCACCATAACATCCAGCTTCAGACTAATGATCCCTGGTGGTCTCACGTGTCTTTGTCTTCCTACCACGCTGCCTATTTGGACAAGGAGCTCCGGAGTCTCTGCATGAAGGAGCAGTTCTGATTGTATGCACAGACCATGCCTGCTGCAGGATCAACACAGCCTGTAGATGAAATGTAGCCTCAAGCTGTGCCAGGGAGGTTGAGCTGGACATCAGGAGGAATTTCTTCAGTGAAAGGGTTGTCAAGCATTGGGTTGTCACCATCCCTGGGAGTGCTCAAGAAAGGACTGCACACTGCACAAGGTGGTTTTCAGCCACAGGTTGGACTCAGTAATCTCAGAGGTCTTTTCCAACCTGAAGGATGTTGTAATTCTGTGATTCTGTGACTCTTTCACAGAAGCAGCACTGGTGCAATTGTAAAGCTGTTGATCTGGGTAGGAGAATGTCTGTCAGGGATGGGTTGGTTTGAACACAGCCAAACAAAGGTCACATCACTCCTGATGGACCTGACTACCTAGGAGGCAAGAAAACTGGCTGTGAGGACACAGAGTGAATGGTGAATAAGGGAATATTGAGTGGTTTTCCTTACCTTTTGTAAAGCTCTCAATGCTCACTCTCCCTAGAGCCAGGTTGGGGAGACGTGGAATAGGAAACAAGGAAGGAAGGAAGGAAATAGGAAAGAAGGAAGCTGGAGGATGGGCTGGGCTGTTGCACTCACAGGGAGTGATCAGAGTTACAGAGCCCACTTGGCAACTCGTTGAGATCCCAGGGGGACTGGAACTGATGGCCTGGATAATTGGGCACACTTCAGGAAGTTTTCAGAAGCCACCAAAGGAAGCAGTGGGGAGGGAAGCACTCGACACCCAAGAGGCAGCAGCTGCTGTTCAGGAGTGGAGAAGTGGGCAGACAAGTGCACAGTCCTGATGGAATAACCTCAGAAGGGATCAGGACAGGCTGGGCTGGGAAGCAGCTTGGTAGGAAGCAGCTTTGTGGAAAGGGAGGTGGAATTGCTGGTGAGTCAGGAATTGAACAGGGGTCACTGCTGGATTACAGCAGAGGTGAGCTACACCCTCAGCTGTGTGAGCAAGAGGCAGGCAGCACATCAGGGCAGTGAGAATCCCCCTGGTTTGGCCCTTCTGGGATTGTTTTGGAAACACTGGGTCCAGTTTGGGGCTTCCCAAGACAAAACCAGCATTGACAGATTGAAGCAGGTCCAGCAGAGGCCACAAGAGGATGGTTAAGGTACAAGGAGAGACAAAACCAGCTGGGTTTGTTCACCCTGGAGGAGAGCAGGAGGAAGATCAAACTGCTTTGTGCAGCTCCCTGAAGGATGGGACAGAAAAGACAGAACTCCTCGAGGTGCAGAGCCAGCCTGGGCTGTTCTGTAGCCCAAGTCTGAGCTTTAAGACCCCAACAGTGCCAGACTCACCTGCAGTTCCTCAGAGGAAAGGGTGCTCACACCATAATGCCAATCTACACAAGGGTTTGAGGATGCTCTCTATCATCATGTTTGGGCATTGCTGGTAAGGGTTAGAGAAGTGAGTACTCCATATTCCTATAAACTAGATTAGTGGAGTAGTAAACATATGATAAAGTAATAATAAACATTTCTGGAGTGATTAATCTAACTGCTAATTGAGGAATCAGTCTGATCTCACTTCATATGTGAAGGTGTGTTTGCCAAAGGTACTCATTTGAACTTGCTCATACCTTTCCATCTGTGGTTCCACATTTTCCTTTAGAACTCCAGTGAAGCCTGTGAGATGAATTTAGCCTTGCTCACCAGGCAGGAAACTGAGGTTCAGAGAAGCCAAGCAACTTGTTTGGAGCCATGGCGAGCACTGTGTTATGTAGATCATCTAAACACTGAATGCACCTGCCTGGTGCTCCTGCCTCAGGTGGTTTTTCCCCCTGATTTTTAAACCTGGACACGGTCACTCTCACAGCTCAGCTGATGGATGGCAACTCATTAAGCAGGAGTAATGCAAGTGGGTCTCAGCCCTGGAAACAATTCCCTAAGAATACACAGCTCTCCTCTGCTCACACAGAGAAACTGCTTTTTATTTCCCTGACTGTCCCTGAACCTTTTATTACTCCCAATCTGAAGTCCTTTCCTGAGGCACTTTCAATAGGATAGCTGTTAAAATCAGGCCTTTCTAATCTGTCTTTTTTTTTTTTTTTTCAATTTAAGGAGATAATAATTATGGAGATCATTGTGTTGATGCTCCAGTAGACAATCAGAGAGGCTCAGCACCGAACTGCTGGCAGCAGGTGGACTGTGAATCACTATCTGCTCCAGTCACCTGCCAGGAGTCCCCCACCCCTCCTCAAGCACATCCACTGATGGGTTGTTGTGCGGTTTTTGTTGTTGTTGTTGATTGCTGACATAAAAGAAGCTGAAGCGACACCGTTTTAAGCTGAGTATCCAAGGCGACCTCATTAACATCTCTGCAGAGGAGCCCTTTAAAAAACATCAGTCACGGTGGTCCTGAGTGGAACAGAAACTGTTCTGTGTTTTCTTGATCAATTGCTTAAAATTCAAGGTCGGGGTGCAGAGCAGGGAGGGCTCCCCGCCAGTCACTGTGGGCTTGGGCTGAGGGTTTTTTTGGAAAATAGTGATGCTGTCGTACTGGAGAAAATCCATGTGCTCCCTCAGAGGAGCACTATTGGGAATAAATGCTGGAAGCTGTTCCACTTGAGCAGATGGCTGAAAAACTTTGGCTGAGAAATAAATTGAGTATGACGGTCTGAGGGCCAATCACAGATGGATGAAATTCTAGTGATGTCCCAAATGTCCTGAACATAGAAGGTTCTCTTCTTTCCCCTTTTGTGCTAAAAAACCATAGTAGGATTTTTAATACAGACTGAAAAAATGTTGATGGAGTGAGACACAGAGATAACAGTTTAATGTCCTCTGGACCAGCAGCACATTTAGGGGAGCCCTGAGGTTCTGCCACCTCCAGATCAGAAAGTGCTGATCATGCAGGGACCATGATGGAAGGGCTGGGGAATGCCCCTGTGCTGCTTCAGACACAGCCTGGTGTCCACATGCAACACCAGACATTCAAATATTCCTGCTGAATCCAAGTCGTGCAGAACCCAAAAGCAATTTTTTTTTTTTTTCTTCAGCATCTTTCAACCCAGCCTCAGGGTAGACTGGAAAACTGTGTTTTAACTGGAGAAGTCACTAGGAGCTCCCTGCCTTGGTTTGAGGCCATCTCCATAAACCCAGGGGTGACCCTTGAGGTGTATAATTTAACAAGCACCCTCCCTGCAGTGCAGCACATAAAAGGAGCCCTGGGTTTCAAATCACGGGCTCTGGGATCCAGCCCAGTGCAGATCCCAGACTCCAACTCATCTCTGCTCAGGCTCAGAAGGGAGACGAGCCACATTTCAAGTGGCACATGTCTTGCATGTCCTGAAAACACCCTGAGCCCAGATCCTCCCCTCCCAATCCCTCAGCTGACAGGATGCCATGAGAGCTGGTGAGACATCAGCTGTGAGCTGGGTTAGAGCAGCCTGGCAGCCAGCAGCGCCCGAGCCCAGTGGGATCCCACAGGGAGCTCTGCAGTGTGAGGACCAGGGCACAGAGCAGTCCTCACTGTGCCTCTCTAGCAGACAGGTGAGGCCACATGCAGGCTCAGAGTTTGTGGTGATTGGAGTGGGGCTGGCCCAGCCCCATCCCCATGGGCACAGCTGTGAGCAGCACTGACAGCAATGAGCCAGGGAGTGCCCAGGGGCACCGAGCACCCACCAAAGGGAGCAGAGGGCACACAGGGGCAGGGCACCAACAGGAGGGGATAAAGGGTTGGGCTGGAGAACAAGAAGGGCAAATGCTTGAAGCCTTCTGAGGTATTATGGTGTCACTCTGTATGGGTTGAAGCTTTCAGAAATTCTATGGGGACATTCTGTGTATTGTGGCCATCTCAGCTGTGACATGAGCTGTGACAGCCACAAACACACACACACAGCCTGTTTTCCTCTCCTTGAACAGCTCCTTCCCTAGACTAGTCCTAGGGTGAGGAGGAGGATGAGTGAGGAGGTCCAGGCTAGGGTGGTGGTAGGGGATTGTAGTTGGGTGGCTCATGGTAGTGGGAGGAGTAGGACAATTTCTAGGTTGAAAAAAAAGTTTAAGCCAACAGAAGTTTGGGGAAGAAGATTGCCATCAGCCCAGCGAGGCAAATATTGAAGAATACCACAAAACACATATTTACTATAGGAGAGGAAATTAATATTTCAAATAAAATACTAAGTATTTCATATTAATTCACCATATTTCATTTACAGCACTGCAGTGGTTTGTTTTTGATTTGTTTCTCTGTCACAGAACACTTGACATGTCAAATTGCTACTTTCTTTTCTAAAGCCCCAATGTCTTTCAGCAATCTCAGCTACTCCATTCACTTTTCATCCCTTATTAAATCCCTTATTTCTGGTGATGGGACAAGCTCATGCAGGTGAAGGCTGTTATAACCCAGCCCCAACATCCAATCTCATGGGGCAAGGTCAGCAGCTTCCAACAGAAGAGTTTTTCTGTGGTCAAGTGACCAGCTGGAAGGATTATATGGGATTTATTCATTGCTTCAGCCATCCAGGACACCATAACCCCACAGAGCTGCACAAAGGGTCTGTGCTGCCTGTGAAACCTTGGTGCCAGCCTGCATTTACTGGGGTATCAGCTGGTGATCTCTGGCCAGGTCAGTGGCAGCTGTGACATGTAAGAACACACGGTGGGGACTTGTCAGGACTCCCTGAAAGCTGCATGAGAGGTGGACAGGGTTACAGCATTTCCTGGCAGCCCTGAGAGCACTGCCTGTGGCACTGGGATAGATATTAAAGGCTGGACTCAGCCTGCATCTGCAGTGCCCAGCAAAGGCTTTATCAAATGAGCTTATCAGCAATGCTGCTGATTCCTCTCAGCCAGCGGCTGTATTAGTCACCCTCAGCCCTTTGTGGCAGATGCCCCTTTAAAACCCATGATTTGAAAACAGCCTTTGCATCTCAGGGATGTATTTGGGGTTTTTAACAAGCATACCTTCACATTCATATAATCTATGTGGACTCAGTAATAGAGATAAAAAAATGAGAATGTGAGAAATTCCAGAGGGAAGAGGATGTGAAGCCTGCACTGTCAGTGCAGAGAGCTGGAAACCCCAGCTTGGGACTTTAGGCCAACCTCACTCCATTTATGTTTGCAGCTTGAATCTGGCATTCAGGGTGTCCTGCATGGTCCCACACCAAGCTGGCAGAGGAATTTTAAACACTGGATAAGACTCTCCACAGAAGATAGAGGTGTTTGGGCTGGTGTGGGAGAGGTTTTACAGTGACTTCTGTGAGCCAGAGAGAAGTTTGATAAGAGGATCCATGTTTACCTCTGAAAGAATTTTCTACCAAGGTCGTTGACATAGAAACCAAGAAAGAAAGCAGGAGAAATAAGAGAAACCTGCAACTGCCTGTTCCAATGAGCACTTTCTTTGTCTTTTGTGACCAATGAGTAAAGTGTAAACTTAGGAGTTTTGTAAGAATGTATAACAAACATGCATGTTATAATAAAAACACGTTTGAAGCCTTCTGAAAATGGAGAGTGTTGCTTTGTATTGTCTCTGTCTCACCTAGGACAGGCTGGGCCCTGCTCTTGCACTGCGGTTGAGCAGGAAGGAGGAGTCCAGGTTTGGAGATGTTTCTGCTCTTTTCTCCAAGGGCAGCTCCCCAAGGACATGGCCAATGCAAGCAGAGAGGAGGGGTGGGTGACACACACACCAAGCCTGGTGTTCCTGGTGGTACATGGCAAAGGCCACTCTGTCTCCACCATCAAAATGTGGTAAATGATGTCGTGGCTATGGTGTGACACATGGTCCAAAGGCTCAGCACCTGTCCCCAGCACTGCCCAGTACACAGGAGAGTGTGATCATGGTCAAACACTCCCCCATGATAGTGTGATCATGGACAAATGCCCCACCATGACAGTGTGATCATGGTCAAACACTCCCCCATGACAGTGTGATCACGGTCAAACACTCCCCCATGGTCTCCTTCCAGCCTGCAATACTTTGTGCTTTAGAGACTTCCTGACCCACAGTTAAAGCCCTTGTATTTAGTCATCCTCAATTCCTCAATGGTTTTCTTTTCCATGACCTTGTTTGTGAGTTTGCAGCCCCCAGTAAAGTCAGAAATTCGAGTGCTTCATTATGAGCATTTTCTTTACCATTTCCTGATTAATCATCCCCAGCACCAGGGTCATTACAGCGGTTCTGGCGAGCGAGCAGTGGCAGGGCTCATTGGCCAGGCACAGCAGCACACACAACTCACTTTGGAGATTTCCATGGCCTAACTGAGCAGAACCAGCTCTGGGATGGGCCAAACCCACAGCCCCAGGAGGAGGCACAGGAGGGATCCAGCCAGGGGGCCACAGAGCAGCAGGGGACTGGAGGGGTGAGGGAGGATGTCAGGGAAAGCAAGACAAAGGGAATGGAGAATTGAAGCTGGAGAAACAGAGGGATTAAATAGTTAATCTGCATTATAAACAGCATAGGTGAGAGTCTGCTACTGAATCTCTTAATCCAGTTATTACCATTCAGTGTGGTCATTTCCTCCTGTTCTGATGCACCGCTCATTCTTCAGGTTTGGAAAAACAAGGTAGCATCAACAACAAATAAAAAGAGACACAAAAGAACTTTTTGTGTGTTTGTGCAGTTTGGGATTTCCCTCCTGTAAAAATGTACCAGCATTAGTAGGGGAGAACATCTTTGGGAAGAATAGGGCTGCATCACACATGTGTTGATGACAGTGAATGTTCCTGAGTAACTCAGAAGTGACAAAGTTGATACTTGGAGGCAAATCTGGGCTCCTGTCAGTCCAGCAGAGCAAGACAGAGCAGATGTGACCTCATGAGAATTTATTAGATGCAGATACAGGGTGTTTGAGTGGTGGTGCTTTACCCTACAACCCACACAGGGGCCAGAAAACAGACACAGAACATGAGGAAATACAAAGGGATGGTTGGAAGGACGGAGGAAAAACTTTGACAGGATGAGGGCAGAAAGGACATGCTCACAAGCAATTTGTGACTCAAAAAGAGGAAGGCAAAACTCCTGGACTGTGCATCCCCATCTGCTGATGCCTGTACCATCCCTGGGCAGACAGGAGTCCCTCCCAGGGTGGGAAGTGCCAGCAGGGCCATGGCAGGTGGTGTCCCACGTCCGTGTCACAGCGATAGCGGCGGTACAGTGACGGCGGGAGAACAGACCCACGTGTGACCTAGCACATCTAAAGGCAGCAATGGGAGAGCCCAGTGCCTTCCCCAGGGCTGTGTGAAAATCAGATGAAGCCTCTCGGTGTAGGAGGGGGGCTGTTGGCTGGGGAATGTGAATGCATCTGACACAAAGAGCCCCGAGTCCCTGTTCTGTCTGAAGCTCACGGAGCCATAGGTACCTGTGTGGAAAGTGCTGCCCTGGATTTCCCATCCAGGTGCTTTATGGCTCAGTTGCATGCCACTGAATATGCTAAGATCCTCATTTCAGAAGAGAACAAAGCAAGGATGTGCTGATCCTGGAGTTTCAGCCAGTTCTGGAGGTGTGTTTGAAGGCAGCAGAGATTGTCTTCTAGCCCAGCACAGAGACTTGAGGTCCAAGAAGGAGCAGATCCATCCAATAAGATGAATTCAGACATCACATTTCAGGAAAAAGGACTGGATTCAGCTGCTTTTTTGGGAACCACCTGGGGTTTCAGCAGGCAGGTTGATTAAATGAGCTGGAACTTTCTCCAGCTGCATGAAGTCATTTGACAAGCTGCCCCAAGAGGGCACAGGACAGAGAGGTGCAGGTGGCAGGGGCAGTGAGCCCTCTCATCCTCAGAGCACTGCAAGGGGCTCTGAGGTCTCCTTGGAGCCCTCTCCTCTCCAGGTGAGCCCCCCCAGCTCTCCCAGCCTGACTGCAGAACAGAGGGGCTCCAGCCCTGGGAGCATCTCCATGGCCTCCTCTGCCCATGTCCTTCTTGTGCTGTGGCCTGGATGCAGTTTGAAGATCTCCCTTAGTGCTTCCTCTGGAGGAAAAATGATGCAGAGGAGAATATTGTGCTAAAGCGGTGTTGTCCCACTCCTTTATTGCCTGATTAGAAAATCGTGTTCTCTAAAAAACAACAACAAAAAAAAAGAACAAAAAACCACAACAAAATCAACAAGAAACCATACTAGTTTGGAGGCATTTTCTCAGTACTGCATGGAATATTTGTGACTTAGCAGCAGCCACAACTTCTCGTTTTACCTTCACTTAGCATTTGTGAGCCCTGCAGAGATTGCACAGCTCTCCTGGAAGGGCAAGGACCTTCTGCCTCCAGGATGAAAACCCAGCCTCCAGGAGAGACCTCTGGCTTCTCTCTGTCAGATTTCTGCGTTTTTGTGTAGGATTGGGAAGGGTGTTTTCCTCCTGAAGGCCAAGGGATGCTGTGTGGGTGTGACTTTTTGAGTGACTCTGAAACAGAAGGTACCAGAGGTGCAGAACAGGAGAAGAGAGAAAAGAGAAAAGAGAGAAGAGAGAAGAGAGAAGAGAGAAGAGAGAAGAGGTCACTCCCAAAAAAGGAGCCCAACCCAGCCTGATTCCTTTAGAGAAAAGCATCTGCACCATCAGCCAAGCCCTTGGTGTTGGCGTTGCTGCCTGGAGCTCTCGGGCTGCGTCACTGCAGCAGAGCTCCAGCACAGAGCAATCCATCTCCTCCCCTCTGCCTCGGCACAGCCAGACATGCCCAGCATTCCTGCAGCCCCTGCAGGCTCAGGAAGCCCTGCTCTGCATGGTGGTGGTTCTGTGGTGGTGCTGGAGGAAGGGATGCTCTCCCTGTGCAGCCCACACCTCTCCCCTCCTGCTGCTGTGCGGGGTAAAGGAACCACTCAAACCATGAAAATCAAGCCCAGCTCTCATCAGGCCTTTGCTAATCAGCTCAATATATGCAAATTGTGTAAAAAGTGGGCTTGGAGAGACCCCTCCAGCACGGGAGGGGAGGGACAACACTGCCCCAGGCTCCTTTCAAGCCCCAGAGGACTCAATGACTCCAGTTTGGGCTGAGGATGCTCAAATGTCACAAACCTCTGGGGAGGGTCAGGACCAGACACAACTTCTGGGACTGAATGGATGGTGCTCAGAGGCAGAGACAGCAAGGGGCAACATGGGACTGCACCAATTCTTGCCTCACCAATGCCATTAGGAAGAAATTCCTCCCTCTGTGGGTGGGCAGGCCCTGGCACAGGGTGCCCAGAGCAGCTCTGGCTGCCCCTGGATCCCTGGCAGTGCCCAAGGCCAGGCTGGACAGGGCTTGGAGCAGCCTGGGACAGTGGAAGGTGTCCCTGCCATGGCAGGGGTGGAATTGAAGGAGCTTTAAGATCCTTCCCACCCAACCCATTCTGGGATACCATGCTTTGAGAAAGAAGCAAACATGGCCAGCCCATGACAAACATCACTAAAACCCCCAGTTAAGGTCCCCAATGAGCTTCATCACAACATTCCTCCAACCAGGCTGGATTAGCATGTTGAAACTCTCCTTGCAAATCACATCTAATCAGCAGCTATTTTATTTTTTTTTTTTTTTCAGAGCCCAGGCATGCAGGTTGCTCTGGAGGGCTGGATCTGCCTGTAGAAATATGCAGTCACCTGACTGGGGCCTCGTCATCTTCACAGGCTGTTTTGTAAACAGTCATTATAAATAATAAATCAACAGCATGCTAATGAAATGAGCTCTTTTCAGGATGCTTTAGAGAAGCCTCTAATTTAATATAGAAGAAACTCTAATCTGCTCTGCCAAGTTACAAAGAGGATTAAACTATCTTCCAATAATGGTGAAATATTCAGGCTCTGTATCACCAGCACAGGAACTGAGGGAAGCATTCAGAGGCACAGAGGGGAGGTCAGCTCCCCAATCCTGTTGCATTTGAAGGAGAACTGTTGCACCACAGTGCCTGGAAAACCCATTAAATCCCAGATCCCACACCCATGAAAATCAAACTCTGCTATCAGATTGGTGGGCACTGCCTTCACCCTTCAGTGAATTTAAATAAATCTTTCTAAGTCAATGCTGCCATGAGCTGGTCATGGCCAAGTGGTGTTTAAATATGTAGGAAGGAATTTGTTGCTCCAGTGTTTTCTTATGAAATAAGGACCTGGGGATAGCAAGGACCCAAGAGATACTGAGGTCAGGATGGGAGGGACTGGGGACAGGCAAAAGGAGTTGAATGAGTTTGCAATAAAATTTTGGGCCTTTTTAATTTTAATTTTAATTTTATTTCTGTGTACAGAACAGAGCATGGGTCTGAGAGCCTCATCTTGCCTTTATTTTAGAGAGTCTGTCCTGAGAACCAGAAGCTGGTTGAAATTCCAACGAAGACCCAGCAGACAAACACAACCCTACAGGGACAAAGCAAGTCCTCAGAAGAAGGGGAAATGGAAGAAATTAGTGAACAGAAGAAGGAGAAATAGAAGAAATGAGTGACCATGGAAAGCTGCCTGGGAGAAGGTTGCATGAGAGGATCTGGGGTTTTTCTCAGTGGGGCTCAGTGGCACATGGAATTAGGATTGAGATTTCTGTACTATTCCACTGGTTCTTATGTGGAGAACCACATGAAATAGCCTTTCTTTAAAAGCCATTCATGGATTGATGAAAACTCTTGCCAGCCCAGCACCTTCAGAACTTCCCTACAATTCTCTAACCCGTCCTGGAGCTGTGATGCTGAGTGACTGAGCTGGGGAGCTGTGACAAGGGAAAGCCTGAGGTGTGCAGGAGGGTGGTCAGGTTGGGCTGTTTCTGGCCTAAGGGGGCACAGGAAGATCTGCACAGCTGCCTCTGGGCATGAAGCACCAGCAATGTCCAGCTGTGGCACAGAGTCACAGACCCTTCACCAGCTCCATTGGCTTCTCTGGACCCACTTCAGCACCTCAGAGTCTTTCTTGGGGACAGAGCTGCTGGATGCAGAGCATCTGCCAGCACCCCACCAACAACACTGTCACAGACATCTTTTTGTGAAAATCCTTTCCTGAGGATTTTTTTCCTCCTGAGAAGCTGAGAGACCTCGGGAATAAAATGTAAACAATGGTATCTGCTGCTGTGGAATGCAACAGGTGCATCTGTGATTGGTCTCATGTGGATGTTTGGAATTAATGGCCAATCACAGCCCAGCTGGCTCAGACTCTCTGTCCAAAACACAAACCTTTGTTATTCATTCCTTTCTATTCTTAGCCCAGCCTTCTGAGGGGAACCTTCTCTTCTATTCTTTTAGTATAGTTTTAATGTAATATGTATCATAAAATAATAAATCAAGCCTTCTGAAACATGGAGTCAGATCCTAGTCTCTGCCTTCAACATAAGACCCCTGTGAACACGGTCACACAACAGCAATTTTAGTCAGTGATCAATTCAAAAAGTGTTCAGCAGACACATCAGAGATGACGCCATTCCCCAAAAACACAGAATGCAGCGCTGGCACCTGGCCCCACACACAGGAAAGGGAGGAGCTGCCCAGCCCAGAGCATCCTGTGGCTCCTGGATGCCCTTGGTACCCTCACAGCACCTGAATAAAGCAGACACCAGCCCAGAATGCCTGGGCAGGCAGAGCTGGTGCTGGATCAGAGCTCCCAAAGAGCCCCCAGAGCTCCAGCTGGAGCAGCGCCCTGGGGTCAGAGCAGGGCTGGAAGGAGCAGCCAGCACTCAATGCCTGATTATTTTCTCTCATTTCCTATGCAAGTCTCTCATCATCAAGTGATCCTCCAGTGACCCACAGCTGCACTGACACACGATGCTGTGCCTGCACTGGCATCCCACACCCAGGAGTGCAGCTGCTGGGTTTTATACTCCAGCCTTCCTAGGTGCTGCATGAAACACAAAATACAGCCAGCCCTGTCTCACCAGAGCATGCAGCCTTCTGCAGAGACACCAAAACATGCTTCACCTTCATGCAAGGTTTTAATAGATAGAGTACCTCTTGTCTATTCAATAAGGAACTGTCTCTGCATGGGTTCAATCAAGTAAAACAGCTATCAGTGTGTTTGGGAGTTTAAAATGTCTCTAGGTTTCACTTTATTCCCTTATTTGAAATATTAAAAAGCAGGTTACTCCAGTGTAACAAAGACTTGCTGTGTCATATTTACACAAAGGCCACATTCATACAGCCATAGAATGGTTTGGGTGGGAAGGAACCTTAAAGATTATCCAGTTCCACTCCCTGCCACGGGCAGGGACACCTTCCACTACCCTGGGTTTCTCCAAGCCCTGTCCAACCTGGCCTTGGTCACTCCCAGGGATGGGGCATCCACAACCTCCTGGGCAACCTGTGCCAGGGTCTCACCATCCTCACAGGAAAGAATTTCTTCCTAATATTTATTCTAAACCTACTCTCTCTCAGTGGGAAGCCATTTGTAAAGCCCTTGTAAATGCTCTTTCCATCTTCCTTGCTGGCTCCCTTTGCATACTAGAAACCACACTGAGGTCACCCCAAAGCTTTTCCTCTCCAGGCTGAACAGTCCCAGCTGTGCCAGCCTTCCCTCCCAGCAGAGCTGCTTCATCCTCTGCTCATCCTGGAGCCTCCTCTGGCCTGGATCCAGCAGCTCCAGGACCCTCCTGTGCAGGGCCCAGAGCTGGATTCTGTCTGTGCTGGAAGTTCTTCTTGATCAAATCCAGCTGGGTTTGGCCATGGAAACAGCACCATGACCTGAAGGAAGACTAATGCACCTTGCACCATGTCCTGAAGATCCTGAAGATTTGTTTGAAATTCATGGAGAAGAGAGCAGATGATGAAGTCAGAGATGTGCCCAAAGTCCCACTGTCAGCCAGAATCTCTCCTCCTGCCCTGCCTGATGCCTCCTGGGAGACAGGGAACAACCACAGCAGGCAGGGCAGGAGGAGCCAGGAGGGATGGCCACAAGTCACTGAGGAGACACTGCAGCACAGGAATGCTCTGCAGCCAGAGCCACCTGCAGAGGTGGCAAAGCTCCTGTCCTACAGAGGTGGCAAAGCTCGTGTCCTACAGAGATGTCTGCTGTGGCCCAGCACCAGGGGCTCCTCAGGCACTTTGGGTGGAAGCTGCCCTGGGCTGTGCAGTGTGGCCAGGCTCAGAGGAGCTGTCACACACCCACCCTGCCAGCTGCCCTGTGCTCCTGGCCATGGGCAGAGCTGCCAGGCAGCTCAGACAGCCCTGGAGCAGCAGCAGCTCTGGGGTTCTGTGCCCACAGGTGGAAGTGGGTGTTCAGATTGCAAGGCAAGATGTATTCTATTTACCATCTGTGTGGCAGTTGTTTTCTGTTCAGTGGGCAGTTT